AGCTATCTGCCACCTCAGCCGCACAAAGTATGGGATTACAGGCGAGAGGTACCTCTCCTGGTCCAGCAGTCTATCTTTAACAAAGATGATCTACTTTGACAATTTTTTTGCTTGTTCATTTAAGTTTCATGAGATTAAAGGTAAACAATTATGGTGAACGTTTAATAGTTTTGATGTAGCTATGCTTATAACTCAATATTTCTAATGATTGTAATGTAGCATTTTGAGTACTTTAAATAATTAAAATTCAAGTTTAGAACATTGTTTTATTTTGAGCTTTATGCTCTAATCCATAATTACTGTTGGCTGTATGTCTCTTACAGTTCTTAGCCTATCTGAACCTAGCTTCCTAACTTATAAGATGCGGCTGTAGCTATTATCTTCCTTACAGTATGCAGATGTGTACAAATTTCTTCAAACTTTGCTAGGCTTCAGTAAGACTGCTATTATCATTGCTCTCCAGTAAGCTTTAGCATAATAATGGTGTAAACTTGGACTAGGCAATGTTTTTATGAATTTTAGCACATTTTACAAAATAAGCCTTCATGTGGGCTCATTACATACCATTTAAGAAACATAACTTCTTTTACAGAATTATAAAATATTCTTTCATTCCCTACTTCTTCCTCTGACATCCAAATTTTTTTTTAATTAAAAATGACCTCTCTTCAGTAGTGAATTCACAAAGGTCCTCTCATCATCCATAAGACTCTTAAAACATGCACTAGGCAACACAGAAACCCTATTTAGAAGTAGAGAAAACATGCAGTAAGTTATATAAGATATTCTCCCTGCCAGGGTCTTTTTCAGGAGATCCAGTGTACTCTGAGGTGCCATGGTTGACTCTCCACGTGTGCAGGTGTGGCAGAAAAGCCAGCTGAATAACCAACCCTCCCAACCACACTGCTTGCCCACACCCTTTACACCCACACCACATTGTCCTATGTTCTCTAGGAAGTCTGCTTTGCTGGCATGGCCATGCTTTCTGGATTGCACAGTGTCATGAACTCAGAAGGCATTCTTATGGGCAATGGCTGAAGTTTAGCAACAGTCTGTTGATTACTGGTGGTTTACAACATCCCACACAAGTGGTGTGTTATTTTAAGTTGTGCTTTGGAAACTGGGCTCTCTATCCCACTTGGGACCACCCTGTGTTTAGCAGTCATATAAGCAGCTGCTTGCTTACCTTGTTAACATCTGTCTTTCACATGTACCCTGTCCTGGAGATTGAATTTTAGGGCCTCCCCATTGCTCAGAGGTGACAGTGTTGAAACAGCTCCAGGATCTAGTTGGAGCATCTCTCAGGGCCACAGTTCACAGCTAACTGAGAGGTTAGTGATGTTAGCTCATTATAAGAACTATGTTCTTTCTTATCTCATTCAGGCTGCTATAACAAAAACACCATAGACTAGGTGGCTTACAAACAGAAATTTATTTACCACAGTTCTGGGGACAGGGAAATCTAAGATCAAAGCACAGCAGATGTGGTACCTGGTGAGGACTCACTTCCTGGTTCACAGATGGCCATCTTTTCACTGTAGCCTCACATGTTGGAAGGGACAAGGGACCTCTCTGGGGTATCTTTTATAAGGGTACTACTCCCATTCCCGAGGGCTCTACCTTCATAACCTAATCACCTTCCAAAGACCCCACATCCTAATACCATCACATTAACGATTAGGTTTCAACATATTAATTTTGAGAGGAGGCAAACATTCAGTCTGCAGTAAACTCAATGTTAAGGTCTTCTGGGACCAGAGTCTTCTGTACTCCATTCAGTCATTAATCCACCAATTTATTTATTCATTCAGGCAGTCAGTCAGTCAATTCATCAAGCATTTTTTGATTACCAAATTTTTTTGAATGCATTTTTTGAATGTCAGGCACTGTGTAAGAATCACGTATATACAACGAGCAAGAGACACAATCCCCGCCCTAAAGGACTGTAGTCCAGTGACTTTGTGTCTTCTAAGAGTGAGCCACCTAAGGGCAGTGTTCAGTAATAGCAATCAGTTTTCAGTTGTTACTGCAATTGATATTTCAATTGTGATAAAAAAAAAATTCTGTGAATTAATCTTTCAAAGGAATCACGACTTCCTTGGTCCTTTTTGTATCAAAAAATATGGAGGTTTCAATATATAGAGTGCTCTAAGAATTCTCCTCAGAACTCCATTAAATGGCCTGGATTCATTCCTTTGTCAGTAAAACAAATTCCTTCAAGAGAGGAGTAAAGGAGTTTAGAAATCAAGATTATTAAGGAGACAATAAATAGAAATTCCTTTTATTTCACTGGAGGTCTCTGATCCTGGAGAAGAGTGGTAAACAATAGACACTGAAAAGTACAAAGTGAGGAAAACTGACAAGATTTCACTTTACACAGAAAGGTACTTCTAGTGCTTCTAGTGTCCTGTTACTACCATTTCTTTGGAAGAAGAAAGGAGTGCCTAGACCACTGAAAACGTTTTTTCTTCAGAAAAGAATTCCTAAATAAATACTAAAAACACATCTCATTATTTAATTTGGAATGTGCTGGGCTGGCTGACTGTTTTTAGAAGCCCCTTTCTTCAGAAATTCTACTGAAATCATGTGAACATTCTTTGATAAAGACTTCCCCATAACAAATTTCTAGAGATATGTTGAAGGAGCAGCACTTTTACTTTTCTGATTTAGAAAGTACTCCAACTGTCTGCATTAACCACAATGCTTATATAATTGGAACTATTTCTTTTTTAAATTAAATGGAGCGAGGAAGAGACCCTCCTGCCCTGGAGCCTGGTCTACTTCTCCAGTCTCATTTTCTATCACCCGCCACTACATATACACCCTGTACTCCAGCTATACCATTCCAGGTGAAGTCCCTAAACAAGGCAAGCTGAAAATACAAATGGCAGAAATATTTGAACAATTTCCTGGGCTTATTAAGGGATAGCCAGGATGACTGGAGCAGAGCCATGGCAGGCAAACATGCTCTTCTTATAAGAAATAAGACTCAGACACCTATACCATTAGGGATCCTTGACTCATTATCTTTCTGAGCAATACTTTCACAAAATATGCATTCCTTTGGCCACACATTTTGCCTGTGGGCTAGGAGTTAAACATTCCCTCTCCAGACTTATTCAAGGAGCTAATTGTCTTCTACCCAGACTATGAAAATGGCCTCCTAACCTCTTCCCCATTGGGCTCACCCTCTACACTGAAGCTAAAATTGCCTTTCTAAAATGCAAATCTGATTATTTAAAAAGAAAATTCTTTAATGGCTTGCCATTGCTTGCAGCAATTTCTAAGTAGAGGGTACCCCTTCCCCGCCCCACCTCACCCCAGGGAGTAAACATATGGAATATGGGGGCATATCAGAACCATCTCAGGGATTTTTCAAAGCTTCACACACACAGGTATGTGTGGCATCATCACCACCCCTCACCCATGTCCCTTTTGCTCCCATACACATTTCCCATCCCATGAAAATTGCTGCCATGCTTGCTGAGTGATGGGTGTTATGTTGTAGCCCTCAGTTACGCTGAGGCATAAAAATGGTTGAGCAGCCGTCATGGCAGAATAAAGTCCAGATTCCTTAGCATGTCCTACAAAGTCCTGCACAATAGCCTCCCTGCTTGCCTCTTCAGTTTCATCTTCACCCATTCGCCATCACATACCCTGTGGGCCAACATCACCAGTCTGGAGAATTCCTGAGCCAGGTTTGCTTTTCCGTATTTGTTTCTTTATTCTATTCTATTTACCCAGAATGCACTTTTCCCCTCACAGCTAGTAAATTTCTGTTTAACCTTTAAGAAGGCATCAACAATTGTATCTTCAGCCAAAGTCTGCCCCTGGATTCCAGGCTTGTACATCTCCACTTGGATTTTTAGAAAGTATCTTAAACTTAACATGGCTAAAACGGCCTCCTGGACCCACTTCCCACTACTTATTGCTCCTGCAGTCAGCCACATCCCCAACTCATAATCCAAGTCTTTGTTGCAGTCTGTGAGGGTATGTATGATCTGATCCTACTCCTATCACCCTCCCCTCACCCACTCTGCTCTAGCCACACTGGTCTCCTAGTCCTGAACACACCAAACACATACTGAGCTCAGGGCCTTCGAACTGCTGTTCTATCTGGAATGCTCCTCTCTCTTAGATGTCTCTGTGATTCATTCCCTTATTTCTTTCAAGTGTCTGATCATAAGTAATCACATCAGAAACCACTGTTTATGGGACAGTATCAATTCACCATCACCTTACATCCCCTCCCCTTGCTTTATTCTCCACGGTACTTACCACTACTTGACATCCTGCACTATTACTATTTGCTCCCACTAAAACATAAACTATATGAGGGCCAGCTTTTATTATTCCTATTCTCTACCATATCTTCAGTTCCTAAAACAATACTTGGCATATAGTAGATGCTCTGTAAACATGTTACTGTCATTCTTGTTATTTGTTAACTCAACTGAAAAGTGATGTGGGACTTCCATTTAAACATACTGCACTCAATATATAAATTTTCTTCAGTTCCTTTCCAAAACCCCATTAAATTAACAGCAAATAGATTTTCAAAATGACACATAGAAGGGAAGTGGAGACATCAATAAAGGCTAGCCTGATCACATTTAAAATTATGGCCCCCTCTTCCCAGTCTCCTTACCCTGCCTTTTCCCTCTATAGCACCTATTATCTTCCAATAAGTATAAAGAAAGAGGGGAATGGATAAGAGAGCTAAATCTTCATTAGTAGGTAGTTTTAGACCTTACTGTAAACAAGTACACAATAGATGTAACAGCCAAAAGATTTAGAAATTGGTTATTTCTGGGAAGTACAAACTAAGAATGAGAAGGGAAGGGACAGAGAATTTATTGTTCTGTTTTTTAAATAAGCTGTCTAGTACCATTTTACTTTTTCAATCATGTATGTTTATAATTTATGCCAAATAAAAATTCAATTAACAAAATCCCAAAACCAAGAGGGAAACTGTATATCCACGAAGAAAAGTCATAATACAACTTTGTCTATTTTTATTCTTTACATAGTGACTACATGTCTTGTTGAACAGAATTTGAACATATTAAAATAGATGACAAAAACTAAATATTTAGACTATGTAGTGGAACGTATGATTTATCACAGTCATTTCTTGAAAACTTATGAGTACTTCATTGACATTACATGCATAAAGCAAATATCTAGCTGAAACATTGCTGAAAAAAAATACGTCATTTGGTCAGTAAATTAAATAAACTGCAGAAAGAAACTATTTAACATGAAGCTAAAGAGAAGAGAATCAAGCCAATGGGCTTTGCCACAGACAGGGAATATACAGGGAACAGGGAAAGGATCAGGCTCCCCCTGCTTGAGCCTTGCTTTCCTCATCTGTAGATTTAGGGGTCTCAATCAGGTCATCTCAAGTTCCTTAAACTTGCTTAAAAAGCACCAAACTTTGAGTTAGACCTTGACAGACTTCCCTAACTCCTTTTTCCCCAAATTAAGCTATGACAAAGATGACCGTATGTCCCAGTTCACCTAGTATAATCTCGGTTTATATCTGTTGTCCTCGAATAACAATTAATTGCTCTTCCTTTAACTCTCAAATGTGCCTCCACTTAGAAGATAAATTACATGCTCCTCATACCCATGACTATATTCATTTTAATCTTGTTTTATATTTGTAAGAAATCACACGAATTTACTTTTAAGCTTACACATATAGCACTTCACAGCTTGCTTTCTCTTAATACTTGGAGAAACTTCAGATTCTTTTGTGAGTGGTTTGTGAACTACCAAAAGTTTTTTTTTAACTTGGCTGGGTGTTATGACTTATGCCTCTAATCCGAGCACTTTGGAAGGCTGAGGCAGAATCGCTTGAGATAGGAAGTTTGTGGCTGCAGTGCGCTATGATCGCGCCACTACACTTCAGCCTGGGTGATGGAGACAGACCCTGTCTCTAGAAATAAAAATAATTTTTTAAGAACTGAGTAAGTCAAATGTAAATTTTCCTTCTCAAAAACAAATTATTCAGTATGCAAAACATTCTGTTAAGACATATTTTCTGATAACCTTAGAATATGTGGTACTAAAAACTATGACTAAAATATTTGTGGAAGAATTCATTATCTTAGGTGATATATTTTAATAATTAAAATAGTTCCAGAACACGGCCTTCTACCTGACTTTGACAATAAAAACAATGTTCTCAAAAGAATGTTCTCTCTGAAGATTCTGGGTCTCATCTACCATCATAGATCTCATCTACCATCAACTGAAATAAGCTAATCAGTTACAAACAAGGAAATATACTTAAAAAAAGAAAAGACAGGTTCTCACTCTGTCTCTAAGGCTGGAGTGCAGTGGCACAGTCATGGCTCACTGCAGCATAGAACTCCTAGGCTCAGGCAATATTCCCACCTCAGCTTCCCAGGAATATACCACTTTTACTGCACTGACAAGCTCTGTATGCTAGTGATTCTCAAATTTTCTTTAAGGCTAGGACCAAGAGTCCTGCCAATCCCCTGAACAACAGCTCACACATTATCCAATGAACTTGAAACACTCCTGTCATAGTGAGCAGCACTGAAACAGATTCCATAATTGATTACTCAGTTTCAAGGCAGATTCAACATTGCTTGGTTTTCAAGTTACAAAAAGTTGCCTAGTTTTACTCAAATATGCACTATCCCTGATAAAAAACATGTTTCATTATGAAGAGCTGTGATTTATTTCAGCATTTTTTCCCCACTTAACCACTTAAGTCACTGCCTGAGGAAATTTCTCTTTAAGGAAATAAATACCAGGTTCATTAGAAGAAAAAAAACCACATAATTTTAATTCATTTTGTTTTAAAGATGCATATCTTTAAAAAACTACTTTAAAATGAACTAATATGTTAGACTGGATCATGCTGTGGTGACTAATGTATTGTCTAGCCTTAACCTAATGAAAACAAAAGAAAAGCGAGTTTGGCACTCACTTGCACTTTTCATCTCTGTTAGAAAGTATGTCTCAGTTTGGATCTGAGATCAGGTTTGCTTGGTAACCTCAAAGAGTAATTTTCCTTTTTTTGTTTCTTTCAAAATTTCCTTTTGATCATTTCACACAGTTCATCCTTTTGAGTGAGAAAGAGTAAAAGAGAGGAATGTTGAGTGAGGTTAAGTAAACGGAGAATCTGTCACATAAAGCAAGTTTAAATCCTAGTAAGAGCATCCATGCAGGACAAACGGAAGCATTATTCTTTTGAAAACATTATTCTTTTAAACAGTGTGTAATGACATCCTCCCTAGAGACTTTCCATGAGAGGGGAAAAAAATTACTTCCTCAGAAGTCGTTTTCTGGATTCCAAGCATAATAAGTGAAGCACAGTTAAAAGTCAAACTTGTGTTTTCTTTATGCAAGAAGGTTCAAAATTAGAACTGCAGAAAGGTACTTATAAGTTTCTCCAACTTGTCTTTTGGTTACATACTGGTATGGCTGTGAACTAAAAGTGCAAATAAGAGGAAAGGTTACTGTTGTTACTTTACACCTATAAATCAGTGAGTGTGTCCTTACTGTAAAATTTGAGCTGAACATATTTTCTGTTTCAAAGGAGAAATATATGACTCATATATGCTGAATGTATGATAATTTATTAAGTTCCTTTTAAGTATATCATTTTCTTATGCTCAAATGGAAACTATGGATTATTTTTCTAGTATTGTATGCTGCTGTTACCTTCTGAGGAGCTGATTGAAAATTTTATGCTTTTGAAAGTTGGGTGCCACTTAAATATCAGAAGTTGGCTATTGTTTTAAATATTTAAAATGTGTTTAAACAACAATTAAGGTTAATAAGCAGAGAAAATACTTCTTTTGATTCAAATACTATTTTATACATTTAATGAATATACATCCAAATAAAGATCTCTCTTCAAAAATTTTGGAAAATGTTAATGCATTTTGAATATAATGGAACAGAGAAGAAAAACACTAGAGAAAATTCACAATTATGATGTTTATTTAGCAAAATAAACTTGAAAAAGTTTTCCTATTAAAAAAACATAAGAATCATATCCAAGTTTTAGATTCTCCATCTTCTTTGGTATGAAAATCAACATTCATAATAGAAAATATTTTATTTTGAAAGGTTTAGTCATTGGGTGTACAACAGTTTTCCATATAAGGAAAATACAGTATTATCTGTAATCATTTTACTTATTGAACCACCAATGAATGCATACAAGTAACCAATTATATGTGTGCAGAGACCAGCATCAAGGAAATATTCATTCAGATAAATGTTTTCTAATAAAATATATTTTAAGTTTTTAATGATCTTCTGCTATCATTTTTTGCTATATTATCTGAATAGCCATCCAGACCTGTAGTAAAAGATCCTATTAGTTACGTAACTCAAGAAGTACTTCCCCAAGGAAGCTGACACCATCATACCAGGACTTAGCAACATTTATCTTTCAACATGACTGTACCATTAAAATTTTTTATATTTCTCAGAATTGTATTCTTCAGTCTTTTCCATAATATAGTATAAGGAAATTGCTAATAGCATTAAATTAATATTAATAAAACCCAATTCTATCTAAACCTTTTTCTCATAAGAAAAAACATTACTTTAAAAAACAGACTTTTTGTTTCTTCTAAAAGTAGTCCTACATGGATTGCTCAATTAGCAATGACAAACACTTCCAGAAACACCATAGGACCACCAAGCTATTTCTACTGCTTTGATAAATTCTTTGCCTGCTCCAATTTCTCCATGTTCCTGCTTTTTTGTGTCAAAATATCTTCCCTTAATTTGTTAAAATGAATCTAAGGGGAAAAAAATCTGATAATCTGGGGTAAAGACATTTTATTTTGTATAGCTTCTTGTGATCACAAAATGACCAGGTAATTTATATCTTCAGTGCTAACACTGTGATTGGGAACAAGAAGAGTACAACCACAATAAAATACAGCTATCTATTAGAAGAACTGCATACAGACATCTTTGGCCATGTAGGCTCTGGGCCCTCTGGAAATAAGTCAGTTGCATTGCCAACATGACAAAGAAAATAGCAATGTTCAGGATCAAGAACAATCTGGTATAGGAAGCAGACAGTGATGGGGCCCTGCTGTGAGTAGTTGTCATCATCCGTGCCTGTCCAAACCGGCCTTTCATCAAGCCCCCATTTTTATGTTTTTCATATGTTACATCTGCAAAATCTAAAAGGTCTTTCATTTCTTCATCTTCATCTATGGGTAGTTCTTTCTGTGCCAAAATCTGAGCTTTCTGTCTAATCTTTTTCTCATTGACTTCAATCTGTGCAAAAATATCAGGGACAGCATCCACAAATTTATAGCGCTTGCCTGCCCTTCGGTTTTTCTTTGACTTGCTTTGCTGCTGCTGTTGCTGTGATATGGCAAAAATCCTGTCAATGGCCTCCTCAGTCTGTCTCTTATCTGAAAATCTCAGCAGGCGCTCAGCAGTCTTCCTAAAGCTAGCTGTGTTCCGGACTCGGGACAGTATCTGCTTCTCCAGCAGCTGAAACACTGGCTTAAAATGCTGCAGGTTCTGTTCCACAATAGCAGCATAGTCCTTCACCTCAGGGACAATGCTGCTCTTGATGGCTGAATTCCGGTCAAACAGAATTTTGTGACGATCAGCAATGACCTGTGCAAAGGCAGACTGTCCTGTGGCCTCACCTGTCCACAGGTACGTTGCGTAGGCATGTTTGCTGGTGGCTACGAACACATCCAGTTGCTGAGAGTCTCCGTGGATAGTGAAGCTCTGAACATCTATAGATGGCCCTATGAAGAGGTAAGCTGCCCTGGTGATGGGACTTCGGAGGTGCATGGTGACATTCACATAGTTTGTCCCATTGTAGGGATAGCCCCGAGGATATGTCACTGAGGCAAAGGTTGCTTTCTCGCTGTAGCCAGTATCGTCCATCCAGTACATTTTATAGAGACCATCTCTCTGCCTGATGAAAGCCCCATGGACACCATCTACCACAGTCTCCTCAAAAGGAACATCCACATTGTGGAAGAAGCTTGCTGCTGTCTCCAGGGGACTCTCCTCTCCCAGGTGTATTTGGTCTACAAGGAGAAGCAGCTGTGGATGTAGGAGGATGAGATTCCTCTGAACATTCTTCAGGTTGAGCTGGGGGTTGTAAGCTCCCACACCTTCTCCTCGGATGAAAACCACCCCATTTTTCTCCTCTGCTGCAACCACTCTCCCCTGACAACTAGCTGCCAGGTCATGCTTGTATTTAGACCATTTTGATGAGCAGTCTTCTGTGACCTGACCCTCCCAGGGAGAAAAGCAGCTCTTTGACACAGCTGGGGAAAACATCAAAACATTGTTGAAGAAGGTGTACTTTGGCCCGTACAGAGCCTCAGTAATGAAAGGCACACCATTGGGAGCAAAAGTAAATGAGTTTTGATCAGGATGTTCATGCCCTGCATTAAAATTTCTCCATCCTTTGATCCAATCTTTGTATTTGTTTCTGTGGACAATGTCATATATTGCACGTCCTCCCAGTTTTCCAGACTTGAAGGAAAGGAAAGATCTATTGATTTCTGCAGGTAGTGCACTTCCATAAGTCACGACACCCCAGTCTTCAAAATAATGCAGTGTAGGGGTGCCAAAGTCTGGAGGAGGAACCGATTTCAAGCTGGCATCATACCTGAAATTAATTTTAAAAAATTAAATGGTTTTCTGATGGAAGTGAAAATAACACATAACATGGTAATGTGGAAGATGCGACACACAAATGCTACCCAGAGCACTGGCAGCACGGAGTGGATTAGGGACAGTTCTGAAAATATCCAAGGACAATCAGTATACACAAAGGGAAACCCTTGGTGACTGGAAGAGGAATATTTCTTTATCATTTGTGATCCTTGGGTTTGGGCCCAAAATGATTTCTGCTCTCATCTCTACATGGACCATCTTCATTTGATGATGTCAGAGTAACCATCCAATCTACTGGGCCTCGTGGATTTAGGCATCTCATCCAAACTTCTGGCTGAGGGGCTCCTCTTCTAGAAATGCCATGTTAGAATCTGGACTCTAACAAGCCTTGAGCTGTAATGAAGTATAGTTCTGCAGTAACTGATATTACTGAATGTTTGGCACTGAAAGCAGTTCTCCCTCAAGATTTTTTTCCTTGAAAAAATAAACTGAAATAGAGAAGGACTTCACATATTAGATAAAATGTATCACCAACACCACATCTCAGAATATAAACGAATGAAGTTTCAGCCAACTGTCTTATACTGGGGGATTTATAATTGTGCCTACCACTGACTAGCCAGGACCAAAGGTTTGGTTTTGTTTTAATCTGCAGATGATGCCATGCTTCTTGGACAATAAATCACTTCTTATTTTTATTTATGATAAATGTTTATTCTTAGTACTATGTACTTTTTCCCTAAAGTGAATCAATCACCTGTAGTAGAGTTAATCTTATTAGTGTTTGATTTTGACTGCTTCATCTGTTGTTCTACAGTCTCAGTTTCAAGACATCAGAAATTATATCTCTACTTAGGTCTAGTATAATGTTGGCTTAATAAATGTGATTTCACAGGTGTAGATGTAAGCTGAATGGGCCATCTTACTCTCAGTTTTTGGTCAGTTTGCATATTGCCATAAAGGCAGATTTTTAAGTTAGACTTAGCATTAAACTGACCTATTATATTAATCCTGTAGTTAGCTTTATAGAACTCTCTTGGTTGGATATTCACGGGTAACTTATTTACGAGTCACACTATTAAGTAATTATGTCATACTCCTGACAGAACTCAAGGATGGTTGCATCTTAATATATTTAGTTTATCTATGAAAATAATCTTAAATTGTTGGTTAAACTATAGCCAGTTACCATTTTACTAATATTTTTTCCTCAATTTTTTATATTTTGAAAAGAAAGAATAAAGAGAAGCAAACCACAAGAAAGCTTGTTTTGGAGTTGAATGCAAATTTCAACAGCTTGAAAAGACATCAGGGATTAATGACTAATCAGTTCCCTCTAATTTTGATTTTAACTTATTGGATGCCAACAACATATTTGGCAATACTTTAAAAAGGAGACCCAAGCTTCTCTTTCTGGGCTTAAAAGATTAAGGCAAAAAAATTTACACGGTCCTTTTATTATCAAAGTGAAGCTGTCAAATACTGTCAAACACTTTTAAACACTTTTGAAAATTTAGCAACAGCTTTGCTATTAGAAGATTATAATGCTCCATTTACCAAAACAAAATATTTTACTACCTTTTTTTTGGTATGATTATCAGAATAACCTAAATTTTGTGTTTCGTTTTATATGATTTCAAAAAATGATGTAAAATCAAAACATGTTTATTTATGAAATAATGCAAGTGTAGGACATTTCTAATATGAGAACCAAAAACTGAAAACAGTAATTAGATGTTAAACATAAAGAAATGTTTCTAACACTACCTATTAGGTACTATGCTCACTCCCGGAGTATAGTGCACACGTACCACTGCATCTAAAATAAAAGTTGAAATTTTTTTTTAAAAAATAAAAGTTTCTAAGAGTTTCAAAAACCGTGGTATGAGTTGAATTGAAACTTCATATACTCAGGTGGCATGGAGAAAATATTTAAAAAGTGCTTTAGTTTTTCTTTTTAAATGCAAAAAAACAAGTGCATAGCACGAATAGTACCCTTGGGTACCATTTCTCTTTAAAGCTAGCCCAGTGTGTCATACCAGAGAAATTCCGTGTGCAGAGTGCACCAGCGCTGCCCTTTGGACGGTGTTCCTGGACCTTCCACCGCACGGTTCCTTCTGATTTGGTCAGCTAGCCAGTTACCACTGCCATTACGCATGACAAATTTATCAAGGAACACTAACTGGCTTTCTGGACCATAAAACCAGTTGTAATTTGAGTCCGCAATAGCCACAGTCCTTTGAAACCCTAGGGAAACAAGTTGGAAAGAATTAAGATACATTAAAAACTTCATACTCCTATATAGGTCTAAACAATGATTTTTCAAATCTAGTTGCAAATTAGAATTGCGTAATTGAGGGGATAAAATAAAAGAAAAATCACAATCCTCTGATTTTATTCCAGACCAGTTAATTAGAATCCCTCAAAAGGTCTTCATGATATGTTGTGTGTAAGCTTGTATTTGTTATGTGGTACCTGTCATTGGTAACAGAAGTGCTACACCTATTGTCTGCCTTTCTCATTTTCCAGTGTTCATGCTATACATGATTATATTTGCATATATACATGGGATATCCTCTTGCGCAGTTTGGGTTCCTGAACCTGGAATGAACACTAGCTCTCCCACAACTCAACGTGCATTCTAGGCCAAGATAATAAAATAACATGCTTTAATTTGGCTTCAATAAAGTCTAAGTTATACTACATATAAAGTTCAGGGGAGAGACTGAGTTTCTACAGGAAGAAAATTTAATTCCCAGAGTAGCTCTGCCAGTATGTACTGCTGGAAGTTAAAGGAGAGAAAATGCAAGGATCTTAAAGCCATATATCATTTTTGGAATAGGGAAGAAAAATAAAAGCAGGTAAGACTGGATACGCTCCATGTGTTCATGAAAAAAGAAGCAGCATGGGAGAAAACTCAGCCAGACAAAAAAAAAAAATGCTACTAGAGTATCAACTGTAGAAAAAAAAAAAAAAAGGAGAAATGTAGTTGAAAACAGATTGCTTTAACATAGAACCTCTTCTAAAATGTTACCATGATTATATTTATAATTTACAGCTAATGTTTTTGTTCCTAATAATTTAGTAAGTGATCTTGTAAGTATACCCTATTTTAAAATGATATTTTCTGAATCTTCTACTAGTCTGTGAATTCCTTGAAAGCAGGAGATGTGTTTTATTCCTCTTTGAATCCTCTGCCTAGTACAGTGCCTGGCATACAGATGTTCAATAAAAGTTTGTTTAATTAACACAAACATATAAATGCTGCTTTTAGACATGTTCATACTGTCTTTTCCACTTTAGGAAGTAGCCACAGACACAGCTCACAGCAAATACAATTTCTGATGTTGTTAGCCTTTAGATCTCAGCTTAAATTACAAAGCACTGAAACCTCTGAAAGACCCCTTGCTTTAGGTAGCCTTTGTTTACTAAGATGAATTGCAAAACAGTCCTCTCCTATATGTCTAAGAAAAAGCAACAAAGCAAATTTTTTTTGAACGTAAGTCTAAACTAAATCTTAAAATGGTTCTTATGCTCTGCAGTATTTTTTGCACTAGTCCAATAATGGAGATTCTATTAATCTGTATGTATACTACCAGAGCCAAAAGATTTAAATACTGAATTCTTTGTTGTAGGTCTAGAATCACCATTTAAAAATTGCATTTCCTTGGGGAAGAAGGAGGAAGTAGGGGATACGTATCCTGATAAAATTTTCCTTTATAACTTGTTCTAACATCTTGGTCCTGTTTTAGAAATAAAAAAAGGTTACAAAGTTCTCTAGAAATGAATACATTATTAAATCATGTATATCTTTTTTTTTTTAGAGCTAGTTTTCTTAGAAGGCTAAATGTCACAGCAATAAGAAATTACAAGTTTTACAGCAATTTTTTTTTACTTTTCTATACTATTTACTTCAATAAAATATTAAAATACTAAAGCTCCAACTTAAATGTGTAGGTGTAATCCTTCATTTTGAATCGTGTCTGTGTAGTTTGAAAGAAAAAACTGAAAACCAAAAATTAAAAATAGGATTGATCAGGGATCACATATAAAGGAAAACTGACAGGTAATCACAAATGTTTATATTTTGCTTTCAATGATGAAGATGAGTCTGTATATGTACTCAAGTTTGGATCTATATATAAAAAAAAGTATTGAGGGGCCTAGAAATTGTATTTAATCCATAACCCTCCAAGCTTTGTAATACCTAAATCATAAATACATTAGCCTCCAAAATGTTCTGGCTATAGGCAACTCTTGAATTCAATTTTTCTTTGATTAAAAAAAACTATTTAATTTCAATATGACAAACTCTAAGGACCTAATTTCTCTGCTTAGTCTAGCTCATTTTCATAATCAGAAAAAATTACAATAGTTTAATGTTTTCACACTTCTGACTCCTCACTGTACCTGGCAGGATGGTTCTATACATAAATGCGAAGTGTTGTTTAAGCCACGGATGGCCAAAGTGGTTGATGTTGAAGTGCCTCTGGACGAGAAACATGTATTGGAAGAGTGATCTAGTGGTGTAGCTGCCATATGCAACTCCTTCATAGAGGGAGCCATCCGTCACCTCCCTGAGCAAGATCAGAGATTTCTCCATGATGGTCAGAACTTGTTTGGTCCATAAGTAGGCTTCTTGAAGATATCCTGAAGGATGAAAACACATGGAAGCAATGACTAAAGGCTGTGACAAAGCATAAACAAAAATATGGCCAAATAAAACCCTCTGAGTTATCTAACTCGTTTATATTACAAATTGCATTTCGTAAAACTCCAACTTGTCAGTGTATAAATAACATCCTGTAATCTAGGTTTGTGATGGTCCCTGGTATAAGTTAAGAAGTTCTTCCTGGCTAATATGGTGAAACACTGTCTCCACTAAAATTACAAAAAATTATCTGGGCGTGTTGGCAGGTGCCTGTAGTCCCAGCTACTTGGAAGGCTGAGGCAGGAGAATGGTGTGAACCCAGGAGGCGGAGCTTGCAGTGAGTGGAGATTGCGCCACTGCACTCCAGCCTGGGCGACAGAGCGAGACTCCGTCTCAAAAAAAAAAAAAAAAAAAGAAGTTCTTGACTCTATAAATGAAGATAAACCCTTAAATGAGTATCAGTCACTTTCTGATCTTTAATAAACTCTATCACATGTAAGATCACAAATGCATATAACTTTATGTTGGCAAGAGAGGATTTGTATATTAAGATTTTAATCAGTGTTCCTAAAAAACAATACTTGAAAATATTTTTAAAAGTTTATCTCTTCACAAAACTTGCATAATTATTTTATAGAATTTGTAATAGGTTGCACATACTATAAATGCTAAAGACAGTCTTCAATTCATATTGTCATTAGACAGCAACCTCTCTTATGTGCTTTAGATCCCACAGGATCTGAAAAGGCAGCAAAGTGGGGCTGAGAAACCAATGGAAAGGCAAATTAATAATGAAAAAATCAACTAGGAATCCTGAAACCACCAGAAAATGAGCTACATGATTTTGTCCAAGCAATTCTTCCATCTGTCACATTTTAATCTCCCCACTGAAAATCAAGTCTATAAAAATTTATAAAACCTTTTAACTCAGAAATGCTCGCTTTCTAGAATTGTTGCACTTAGTTGACAATAACAACTCCTCACATTTCTGTAACATTTATAATTTATATAGCACTGAGCAGAATCTTAGTTAATCCTTTTAACAACCCAATTATGTATTATTGCCCCAAAACAGAAAGGCTCACTTGTTCAAGACCTCTGGCACATGACTAAAAATGAATACAACTTTAATCTCAACCTCGGTCTTTAGATTTAAGGGTTCGCTTAAAAACACGCCACCCTTGAGAATAAAATTAAGCCCAATGCTTCCTGGTGTGGATGTAGCCACACTGCTTTACTGCAATTTGGTCCAACCAGCTCTGGGCCTAAATATAGGTCACAGGCTAAGACTTGGCTCCTGACTAACGCGGGCAACTCAGCTCTCAGGCTTGGGTACGCAGAGGTGACTGTTCATCATACCCTGGCCTCTTCTGCCACCTATAGCTGACATGTCAATATTCTGGATAGTTTTCGATTTCCATTCTCTACCATTCCAGTTTAAAATTCTAATTATGTTCATTCTTTTCCTCTGTGTCTTCCATCTCCCACCAGATACCAATGTGACTGATGCCTAAAATCAGGCCACTGTCCCCAGGATACCAACATTACCTAATTTTCCTTATTTGTTCCTTACAACAACCCTCTTCAGAAGATATGAGGCCATGTCTACCAAAATATTTTGTAAATTGCAAATCTCTGTCAATACAAGGTACTGATATTGTTGTTAACTGAAGCTATGCCCTGTATTTTCTTTCTGCCACCCGTATACCTTGCCTGGAACGTTCTTTAACTTCCCCTTAAGTTCTCCTATCTATCTTCAAAGTTACAGGAAGAAAATTACCGAAAGAACACTGCTCTCTTGAATTCCAAGTTAATATACTCATTTTATATTTAACCATAAGGCTTTTCATGGTATCTTTTATTTTACTCTCTGTGGTTATTGTAACTACGGTGTAATCATTTAAACATTTCACATCTGTCTTCTTTCCAACTGATTTCTACCTCCTTCTGTCCAGTCTTGTCATAAATGTGTGTACTTATGTGGGGGCTCTGGAAGAGTGTCTGCCAGGGCCACCATAACTTTAGTCAGAAAATAAATGCATAGGAAAATTCCTGCCAGGGCAAAATGACATATTTTGATTCAATCTAAACCAGTATTATTTTGGGTCACTGCTTATTATTTGGAATAATGTTATTTAGAAAGACTGAAGAAAGAAACTACTCCTCTTGTTAAATAAATAAAAATTTATTTAAGGAAATAAAACTATAGTAGATTAAATTTAAGCCCTGAGGCAGAAATTTGGCTCACCCAAGAGATCCTTTCACCATTTCATGATGGTGTTGTTTCAGAGGCCTGGGGGTTTATAAATGGTTTGTTAGTGGATTAACACATTGTTTGCATTTTGACGTTTTACTTTTCTTTTCCTTTCTATTTGTTTGGTTATTTATTTATTTATTTATTTAAGACTGAGTCTCACTTTGTTGCCGAGGCTGGAGTGCAGTGGTGGGATCTTGGCTCACTGCAACCTCTGCCTCCCGGGTTCAAGTGATTCTCCTGCCTCAGCCTCCTGAGTAGCTGGGATTATAGGCATGCGCCACCACGCCCATTTTTCAGTTGAGACGGGATTTCCCCATGTTGGCCAGGCTGGTCTCGAACTCCTGTCCTCAAGTGATCTGCCTGCCTTGGCCTTCCAAAGTGTTGGGATTATGGGCGTGAGCCACCGCGCCTGACCTGATGTTTTAATTTTCTTTATGTTTTTGTGAGAGTAGGGGAAAAGGGGAGCTAGCATGAAAATTCACTTTCATAATTAAATTTTGCTTAAGTTATTATAAATGAAATTTCCCTTCTGAGAGAGATAACAAAATACAGTTGAAAGAGATTGAACTTTATGGATGGCCAGAAGTGGGTCCAAATCCCAGCTGCCTTATATGGTTGATGTGAAGATTGAATAAAATATGGAAAAAGACTAGCACGTGTCATATGCTCAGTAAATGTTAGTTTCTTTTCCTCTAAGACCCAATTAAAAGTGAAGGTTGGTTGATATGACAAGGGAGAAAGCTAGATTTGGGTAAAATCTGATGTTGGATAATCAACAAAATGCTTAATAATTCTTATGGGGAATATAATCGAGTTAAATTCTGTTAGATTTCCAAGCCCCAATTATATATTTAATATTCTGATAATTCCCTGTGATCTTAGAGCTGCTTTTCTTAAACACAATCTTAATCATTTATAGATTTCTACAGAAGTTGTAATTTAGAGTTAAAAGAACAAAGAAAATGTATTATTGGCAATTATGCAATATGTTAAGGCAAAGTAGCTACACAATCCACAAAAGTTGCTTCCAATTTGGATGTAAATAATCCAGATTGGTTGTTTTAAATATTAAGAGGGAAAAATAGTAGTGGTGTTATGATTCCCATCTGTGTGCTGGAAATCTTCATTTCAAATAACAAACCATCTGTTTAGCTTTTTAAAATTTCGTTTATTCCAGGAGGGCTGTCTTCACTGTCAAAATTCTCTGGAAAAATGAATATTCATCACTGACCCTGAGTTGTGAAGATTTGTTCTGGGATAATCATAAGCCATAATTAGATAACATGCCGGCTAATATACTAGCGGAAAATAAGGAGGAGATGTCCCTCAATTAACTAAGAGACACTGTAGGGACTACTTCATCTCATGGGTTTAGTTAGGATCCAAGTATGAACACGTACTAAGAATGGTTATAAAAATGCTTTGCTCACAACATGGCAACTACGACTTCTGTCAGCTCAGGCATCACCTCGGCTGTGTCCACACACACCTTGATTCATCAGGACTAGGCTTCCTGTGAGCAAAGCCATGCAGTTGGTGGGCTGATGATTGTGCAGGTATTGAAATCCCCATCCTCTCCTGTATGAAGTTTCATACATATACCCTGAGGCATTGGCAATCACTTCAAGAAACTTCTCCTGTTGTGTCTTGCTCAGGTAGTTGTACAAGAAGTCATAAGCAGTGGCAAAACCAACCAGGGAGTGAGCGAGCGGGACCTCATCCCAAGGAGCATCTTTCACCAACCTGTAAAGGAAAATAAATCATGGAAATGAGTTCATCAGACTCACAGCTTTCATTACACTTCTAAAGTGTCTATTTCTCAGAACTAAAGGGCACAACTGAAGATACAATCCAAGGGCTTAATGACACACAACTGACTTCCCTCCACATTATAATGAAACATATAGCATAGCTTGTCTAAAATGTGAAAATTATACAGTTAACAGTTTTCTCTCTCAGGATTCTGGCAACATCAAGATGTTGAGAACTTTTACTTTTGATTTTTTATTCATGACAAGAAGTAGTAGAATATATTCAAAGAGATCTAAAGCATAGAACATGTGTTGGCAGGGCAAAATTCTCTGGAGTACGAATTTAACCAGTGCTCACCCCATTCCTCCTTTTTGCTTAAATAAGACACTCTCAGTTCTATGCTTATGGCCACCTTGCTAAGACAGTTGAACATATGTATTTCCTCTTATTTGCCATAGCTGGTCAATGCGAAGGTATCGTGGTCCATAATCCATGACCTCTCAATCTGCACAGACCCACTTGGTCATCACCATGGTGCGAAGCGTGACTAACGTGAGTGGGAGCTGATTCTAACTCAGAATTTTTATATCCCTCTTTCCCATAAACTGAACTGCACTGCCTTAAAGGTCTTTCAAATATCTTTGTAAGAAATCTAAAAGTTGATCTTCTGTTAAGAATTACATTGTCATTTTCCAGGAAGCCAAATTTCTGTTTGACTAGTTATATTATTCTGCAAATTAGTGTGTGGCTTGCATTAAGCAGGAAGCAAAAAAAAGGATCTTTCACAATCAGAATTCTAAGGAATTATCCAGAAAACCCTTCCCATCTGTTCAGGATGTATTTGAGTAATCTCCAAGTGAGGGAAACAAATCAAAAGTGTGCTGTACCTGTGGGAGGCAGAAGCAGCACTTAATTAGGGATGAAGCTAAAGCTTAACATTTTTTATGCCACGAACCTCTTGTGGCAATCTAGCGAAGCCTTGACCTGTTTCTCAAAATGTTTTAAAATTCATAAGACATAATTAAGGATACATGGAAATCTATTATTTTGAAATATAATTATCAATACACATATTTAAAAAATAGTAGTACAGCTAGCTATTTTATTAAGACATGAAATACTAACATTTAATAGCAGGGATAATAACTACCATAATTTATAAGTGGTAATAAACATAAATTTTGAAATATCTATAACAACTGTAATGTAGTATGAAAATATCTGTGATAACCTGTCTGTAACTTTGTTCCAGATTCTCCCAATACCATCACAATTAGTTATCTCTACTCATGACTGGAAGAAATGTTGGATTTCAGTTAAAGTTAGTAAAAATTAAGATGTATTAGTTCTCTCAAACAAACCTTACAGACCTCAGCTTAAAAATACTTTAAAATGTTCTGAGAGACTACCTCTTCCAGATTATGTTTCTCCTTTAGAAGTTTATGCTAAAGAAATGGCCTAGGTGAGAGCTTCCCTGGTCACCCTATCAGAATTTCATCATCCTCCCAAAATAATATTTAATTCCCCCTTTTTTTCCCTTTAGCAAATATATGTATGAATATGTCTATGTATATGTATCCCCTCCTAGAACTTAAGTTCTACAAGGGCAGGACTTTTTTCTTCACTATTGTATTCGCAATTGGATCCCCAATCCTAGAACAGTGTGGCACATGGCAGATGCTCCATAAATATTTTCAGAAAGAAGGAAAAAGTGGAGGAACAAACCTATAACTCACTGTCAGCCACACTGCTGACAGTGATTATGTGATCATTATGAAATCAGGAATTTGGAGAGATCCCTTTATATTTAGTAATAATTTCAGCGTTTGGTTACCATTCAGTGTTTGGTACTAAAAAGATTGAGCAGTTTCTTAGTAATCTAGTAACAGACAAAGCTGCCTTGCTCTAGCCAGTCAGCTTGCCGGTGTGTGTACTATTTGTAAACAGACGATGAGTGTGTGAATGAATTCCCTACTTCTAGGAAAAAACAATTCATACTGCACACACATTGCCAGGGAGTTGGCAATATCATCTTCACTGACTCATGGTGACTGGTGGGCCAGGCAGGGAAGTCAGGTCATTTGTTTCCCAACTTGTGTCACTGTACCATGTCATGATGCATCTATAAATGGCAGTATATACACCGACTCATGATAAAGCTGATGTCAATGAATCGCTACCAGCCATCAAACCCTCACATGTGTGATTAACCAATAAGTTTATTTTTATAGATAAGCAGAACATTTGATATAATTCTCATCCTTCAGGAAATGTCATGCTAATTTCTGTGAAAATGTCTAAGACCCAACATGCAGTTTGTTGATTTCAAACAGTTTCAAATTCAATGAAACATTGGCATCCCAAAAGAAAAAAGTTTATGGCACCTTCAGGTCTGTCCCTCTATCATTAGAAAAGCTGACCTGTAATAGTTGTATTTCTAAAAAGTTATCTAAATCTTTTACCAACATGGTCTTACCCAGCCTTAGATACAAAGTGAAATAATGGAAGAGACTATATTTTACAGTCACAAAAACCAACGGAAATTTGCTCTTAGTTCATAGATGGCAGCTGAGAAACTATCTTATCCAATGTGATCCTGACCAGTAATAAATCAGTTCACTGTAAAAGGTGGTTAAGTGGGAAATTATTTTTTTAAAAAACCAGACAGACATTAATTTATGAATTGTATTTCAACTTAAAATATATCCATGTGTCCACACATTCACCAATCTTTTGAAGGTGAGCCAAAACCTATTCTCTGAATATGGGTCTACAGATGGAGTTTCATTGTTCTTTCCTGCAAAGAACACACATGACACATCATCACAATTTCCAGCTTTGGTTTCTTTATAATATAGGAAGAAATTAAAGATACTTGTGAGGGAACACAGAAGCCTTCTAGATTTTTATGAGTTTTTCCCTAATCTTCTACAAATCTCATTCACACTATATCACGACAGCAATTTTTTACAGTAAGTTATTCCAAAGCTTTTAAGTTGGTTCTAGAAATATTAGCTTTTTCTTTTTGAACTCACACTTTATCTATTTATATTATTAAAACTGTCTCATTACAGGTATTAGGGAAACTGTGTTACCTGGTTTGAGAACAAATACAGCTGACACTTGCTCAGCAGGTAACTGTACTAGGGGGAACAGAAATAAATGTAAAGGGCAACCTACAAGTCCTGACATTCAGCTACCGTGTTACATAAGGAATGGAAGCTAGGTTCACTGGCAAGTTAGTTAAGGGAGGTTAATTAAGGAAATACTTACGCTATTCCTCTTTTGTAAACTACACTTTCACCCCTTAGAGCAGCTGTTCTCAAAGTAAGGCCCAGGGAGGGGCTTCCGAGACTACTATATTTTGGAGAAATCACAAATAAGAATTATTTTCATAATAACATAAAGATGTTATATGTTGATATTTGCACTGATGGTACAAAAGCAGTATTAAGTAAAACTGCTGTAACCTTAGCAGGAATCCAAGCAGGGGCACTAAACTGCCCTAGTAGTCCTTGTATGATTTTGCACTGCCATGCACTCACGTTTTTGTTGTTGTTGTTGTTTAATTTTTAAAGCCAATTTTATTTAAAAATGTCTTTGATGAAGTAGTAAAAATGATAAATTTTTATAAAATCTCAACTCTTTGAGTATAAATCTTTCTAATATCCTATGTGATTAAATGGAGTACCAAATTACAAGACTGTCACAAATAAAAGAAGTCATGCACTGAGTTGAGAGCTGAGCTAGCTGGGTTTTGTCATGAAACGTGACAGAATGATCAACTGACAAATTATAATTATTTTGTCATTTTTACGTGACAGAATGATCAACTGACAAATTATAATTATTTTGATTTGGGTGTTAGAATAGAAATTTTCTTGAAAATAAACAAGGAAGGCCTGCCAGTTCAAGGAAAGCTGAAAGCCTTTGTTGCCAGTGACAAACTTGGAGCTTTCAACCGGAAATAAGAATTTTGGAAAATTTGTATCCATTACCAAGAGCTTAAGAGCTTACCAATACTTAAAGATTTTTCTGATGAAATCAGTGAGAACATCAACAAAAATGATTTTTATATTGTATAAATAAATGTGTTAACATTCGGTAGACTGAAATAACTCAGTGAACAAACATGCAAAATAACAAAGGCATGATGTTATAAAACCATGCACGGGTAAGACAGCCACTCCTAAGTGTAAAATACGCCAATGGATTTTAATGTAAAAGAGTATGAAGAGTTCATTCACATGGCTTCAGATTCTATACTGCAATTAATTTTTATGGAACCACTACCAGTTAAGTTTTAGTGTAGTGTCAAAGAAGAATATTCACAATTATTTGAAAAGATTATTAAAATACTCCTCCCTCGTCAATCACATATTCCTGTGAAGCTGGATTTTCTTCATATACTTCAACCAAAAAAACACATAGCAACAAGCCAAATGCAGAAGCAGACACATAAGATTTGCAAAAACGTAAGACAACACCTTCCTTCTATTTTTTGTTTTAAAAAACATAGTTTGGCTGGGTACAGTGGCTTATGCCTGTAATCCTAGTGCTTTAGGAAGCCAAGGTAGGAGGATTGCTTGAGCCCAGGAGTTCCACATAGCAAAACTGTCTCTACACAAAATAACTTTTTAAAAACTAGCTGGGCATGGTGGCATGCACCTGAAGTCCCAGCTTAGGAGGCTGAGGCAGGAGGATTGCTGGAGCCCACAAGTTCAAAGCTGCAGTGAGCTATGATTGCACCACTGCACTCCAGCCTGGGTGACACAGTGAGACTCTGTACCAAAAAAAAAAATATATATATATATATATATGTGTGTGTGTGTGTGTGTGTGTGTGTGTGTGTGTGTCTATAGTTATTTTTTCCTAAAAATGGTTATTTTAATATGAAATGAGCTGAACAAACAAATGTTTCAAACTTCTCAGTTTTAATTTCTAATATGGTAAACTTTGATAGACACAGCCCGAATAAACAAAGCTGTTTG